TTATCACATTCTTAGTCATCATGCCATATTAAAATATTATTTATCTTGTATCAATCTTCAACGGCTTTGAATCTATACTTATCTCTCTCTCTCTCTCTCTCTCTCTCTCTCTCTCTCTCTCTCTCTCTCCCCCCCCAGTTGATAGAAATGGACAATTTTAAGTGAATAAATATAAACAACTGTCCAGCCCACAGTGCTACTATCAACATCGTAGCGGTGGTCACAACATTGCTACACTCTGATCCAAATTTGTCTTAAATCACATTACCACCGATCAATTATCATCTATCCAGATCTCAGTGTTGTAGTGTTATATAGCCACGGTGCTACAACGCCCCAAAAGGCAAATTTCAAACTTAACAAATTACTCTAGCTCTCATATATAAAGCCTCCATTTGATCCATTAAAATTCTAAAAATTCTTATGTTAGTGCAAACATAAACATATTTATAGATTTTAAACATTCAAATTATTGTAAAAATAACTTGGCATGAATGTAATAAATCTAAACTTCAACCATTTATTAAACGATTGAGAATTCTAATCTAAATTTCTCTAGACAAAACACTAATTTGACCCAACATGATATGAAAATATTTAAGTCATGGTGTGATAGTGTCAGCCTAATTCAACATTACCACAATTGTCAAATTTGGGTATGGCAACCTCATAAAAATAGAAAAAAATGTAAAATAATAAGAATAAAATATTTTATTCACTATTTTTGAGTTTATTAAACCCATACCTAAGCTTGATTAATTTTTTTTATCAAGTTGTTTATTCTAACCCTAAGTTGACTCAAATATTAAATGGATTGATTCAAACTAGAGTTTCTAATGATGGATTTGTATAAGATTTTTGTATTGGGTCAAATACTGACACCCATACTTTAAGCAATACTACAAGTGATTATTTATATAGAGATAACTAGCCCTACAACAGAAAGATGATGATTATCAACATAACAACAATATAGAGGGCAATTTTGGTGATACATATGTGAGATGATGGTTAGCTTGTTGGTGTAGAGCATGATGATTTGAGCTTGAAATTATTTCATCCTACATTTAAAATTCTCAAAAATGATTTATGGTTGTCAATTTATTGTGAGAATGATTTTTTACCATTGAATAAGTATTTCTATTATGATGAAAATCTTTTTAGCATGCGGTGCTAAACTATTGGGTAGAAAATTCAACGATGATAAAAAAAAATTACGCCATTGCTTTGCATAAAGATTCAACACATACATATAGCATGAAGGTATATAGAAGACACCAGAGTTTATAAGTAAAAAATTTAGAAAGTAAAAAAATCATAGGGGCTACCTCAGATGAGATGATCCACTATGTATGTATGTTACAATAGTGTGCTCTTTTCCACAATTAGACATATACATCACAAAATATGAAATATTAGTTTACCTTTCTGTAAATGTGGAGAAGGATGCTAAAACGATAATAGTTGGATAATGTTAATCGAATGATAATGGCTGAATCAAAGTGCTGAAAATTTTTTCATTGAGTGATGCTAATTAGAGATAATGAATGAATATGATGACTGACTGATATTGGTGGAGATATTATAATTAGGCATTAGTAGTCAGTCGACATTAATCCTAACAGATGGCGCATTTTTATTGGCGACCGAACGGAGAGATGGCTTCGGTCACCTGACCCAATAATTTGCCCGTGCAATAACATTTGTTGTGGTGGTCATTGACATCAATCATTAGACAAAACTCTTTCCATTTCCAAATTTTCAACTCTAGGTCCCCTTTATGCAGAGAATGGAGGCAACATCCAAAATACTCCATTGGACAACCTATTGATTATCTTGATTATATACTATTATTTAATTATTTGGTACCTTAATGATACCATAATCAATAAATCTTGGACTCATATTTGCTTGGTTGAAATAGTCAAATTGATATGGGCTTAATGAGCTTATTTGAACTTGAATCAGATCACTTTTGATGTGTTAGATTTTTCGAGACATTCAATTCAACTATATGCTTGTTGAATCAGAGTGTACATGACTCTTAATTGTGATCAACTCAAATTTTTATGGTCTGAATTAATAATTAATATTAATTAATTAAAGTTATTGTCTTATTGAAATATTTTTATTTTTGATTTAATTTATCAAAATATATTTTATCATTTAATAAATTTAGTAAATTATTTATTGATATAATTAATTATTTTAATTACAAACTAATTAGTATAAATAATATAAATATATATAAAATAATATAATAAGAATTGTAATCATATACACAATTTTAATTGTCGAAACAAAGAGCTAAATAAATAATTTACGTGAATTTAATTTAATTTAAAATATATCTTATCAAATTTTAGTACTTAAGTCACATAGAATTTATTAAATCTGGAAGATTTATACTTGCATCGGCCTTTTGGTTTAAAGCCTAGATTTTCAACTTAAAACCCTATCAGGTTTTTTTCTGCAGTATCAGGCAAGGAGGCATGAAGCGTAAAGCAGAATCAGACGAAACCGTCGTTGGCGAAGCAGAATCCCAAGAGCCTACGAGCGGCGAAGCTTTCGCAGCCAAGCGGAAGAAAAATAACAAGCATAACGCTGCTCGGGGAGGACCAGCAGAAGAAGTGGAGGAGAATAATGAGGAGAAAGAAGCAGAAGAGCATTTGTCCATCCTCGAACTCCGCGGTGACGGTGATGTCTGCCGTGTCCTCATGGAGCGCTATGCACGGTCCTCCGCACAGCAGCATCGCCATCTCTGCGCCACAGCCGCCGCTATGCAGTCCATCCTCTCAGAGGAAGGTCTCCCTCTTACGCCTCCAGCATACTTCGCCGCCGCCATTACGGCGCTTCGTGACGCTGATCGGTGGGACCGGGAAGGTGTTGCTGCCCTCTCTGCTTTTTTGGCCATCGTGCTCCCTCTTCTCCCTTCAGAGTCCTTGCCAAAGCCCCGGGCTAAAGATGCGGCGTTTGTTATTGTTTCATTCCTGAGGGATCCCTCCGCTGGTCTATCTACCGGTACCTTGCGGTCTATGGTGAAGTCATTGGGTCTAGTGGCGCTGAGGTTGGATTTGGAAGACTGGTCTTCCATTGAATTGCCTCTTGAGACTCTGCTACTGTTTGCAGTGGATAAACGTCCAAAGGTACATTTTTTTATGTTTTTTTTTGCGGACAGAAAAGGAGGCATAGCTAATGGTATTACTTGAAATGCGTACAAACCTCATAATGCACGTTAGATTTGGTTATATATTTATTTGATATGGTCATTTTAGAATTTAACTGGCAATTCTATTGTGGGACATCTACATTCCTCGTTCTCATGTTGGGGAACTTTTATTTGGTTCGGTGTAAGGATGCAGAGGAACATTCAGTCGCAGGCAAAATCGCGCCTATACCGCAAAAACTCGGTACACCTCGGATCAAAAAACTCGGTACACCTCGGTATAGGCGCGATTTTGCCTACGACCGAATGTTCCTCGGCATCCGGTCGGAGGACGTAATAATTCTTTCATGTTGGGGGTGTAAACTTGCAAGTATTTGTTTTAGGCTGTCAAATATTAATTTCAGATATTAAATCTGAATACAGATGACATTCCCTTCCTACCTTATACATACATCAACAACCTCCTATCATACACCCACCCACCGACGTTCATACTGATGTTGACATAGCATGCAAGGTGCTCATTAATACGATTTATTATTCTGTGCGGAGTCCGAATGTGTCTGGAGACCAATAAAAATGCGCCACGCCACACCAAAAATGTATGGCCCTCGGTACCGAGCGTAACCGGACGGTTCTCCCGTCCCGTGTCCGCGCAGAATAATCTCTCCATTAATACAAGAGAAAACTTATCTGAGAAGAAGCTTTGATGTTATCATTTATGTTATTTGAAGGAGGAAGTTAGATAGTATGTTCTATAAAGTCACCTACCTGTTTTTGGAGAGATTATTGGGTTCGGACACCTGACACAGCTTACGTTCAGTATTCACAGTATTGAGTAGTACTGAGCTCGGTACTGTGAAGTACTGAGCTCAGTACTGAGCAGTGCCGAGCTCGATACTGCTTGGTACTGTTCAGTACCGAGCTCAATACCGAGTAGTAGGTGATGTGGCGTATTTTCATTGGGCTCCGAACACGTCCGGTGTCCAAACCTTATAATTTGCCCTATTTTTGCAATGGATTAGCAGCTTCGATTGTTTGTATTAAATAATTATGTTTATCCTTTTTTATAAAAAAAGGAAAAAGAAAAGAAAAAAAAGGACTGATAATTATATGTTATGGGTTTGAATAACACAACATTGAAGATGTCCCTGTTCTTCATTGATAAGTGCTTACTTTTGTTTATGATGATGCTATTTTTCGGACTATCTGCTCTTTGATGTCTACATTAAATGAGAGACTTTGGCTCAATTCTTCCTCGCTTAGGAATTTATTAATAACTCTGCTAATCATAATGGATGATGCATATGCAGGTTCGCAGATGTGCCCAATCATGTCTTGAAGAGTTTTCAAAAAATTGTCGTAGTTCCTCCATTGTCAAAAAGACTAGCAAAGTTGTACATCGGATGCATAGAAAGTATATTGCGTTGGTGAAAAACTCCTATTCAATTGAACCTACAAATGCAGCTCTGAACAACACCACGTCCAAACCTGAGCATTTGGAAGCCCTCCGCATGCTAAATGTTCTGAATACTATGCTTCCATATATTTCCGATAAAATTAGAATGAAAATTTTGTCTGATTCCTATGAACTACTTGGCTGCCATTTTTCATGGCCAACTAGACACATTCTAAGAATTTTTGAAGCGTTGCTGGAGCAGTCTGATGTTGAAGTTCTTGTCCCCAAAGCAGAAAACGTCATATCTGCTCTTACATCATATGTCTCCTCTGCTGAAAAGAATCCTGTAGATACTATTGTTTCTGCATCTTCATTGTTGAAAAATGTTTTAAGGAAATTTGGAGATGTATTTCCAACCATGTGGATAAGATACCTTCCTCTTGTCTTCACTTCTCTTATAGGTGCGTATTTAGAAACTCTGCTTTGGCTTAGTATAGTTTGATAATATTTTTTGATTCCTTAACATCTAAAATTTGCTGGTAATTTTAAAGCATTTTATGCAAAAGCTGTATTGGTTAGCCTTACTCATACTTTCCTGCCATTAAGCTTACATTTCTTGAACTGGCTCTTGTGCTTGTACTTTAGTTTTGAACTGCATAATCTGCTTCTATTTTTAGAAATAAAGTAGCTTCATATATGTTTTCTTTGCTGGAATATTCAGGATATTTGGGATCTGATTCTGATACTTCGAAGCTTGTTGCTGATATTCTGAAAGAATTGATAAACTTTCATATAAATCAGAGCCTTTTCAGGTTGGGCAAAGGTCAATCAGACAACTATAAGATAGAGAGTAGTCCTGAAGCAGCTGCAGTTGCTTCTATTTGCAGCGTATCCGATAAAATGCTAAAAAAGTGCATTTTTCCTACTGAGCATATGTTGGAAGTCATGTCTGTTTTGTTTCTCAAACTCGGTATGTTCCTTTGTTTTCTTTATGGCATGAACGATTTAAACATCAACGTTGAAATTTCCATTAATTTAGTAGATGGACTCATTGCCTAGTTATGCTCCCTTTATCCTTTATACAACAATGGCAAGGTTACTTATTCTAACATAGTTGAAACTGTTAATTTTGGTTCGTAGGATTATCCAATTTAATTCCAGTACTATTTTGTTTTAAATCAAAATGATACCCAACTTTATTTAAGGATACAATGATTTGGTTGCCTTTAATTTTCTGTGGGACCATGTGGCCAAAACAATGCCTTATTAATGAACAGTCACACAAACTGTTTCTATCATTTTTAAGAGCCAGAAATGGATGCATTTTATTTCTATCTCTTTCTCTCATCAATAATTTTTTGAGTTTCATTCATGGTACGTGATTTCATGCATGATTCTAGGATGCTAATTTCTTCTACGTGATTTCAGGCATGATTCTATACTTGGCAGATGACATAGTGCGAAGTACAAGAAAATTTTGTGACCTTAAGTACTTTGTGAAAGTGGATGCATGCCTAATTGCAGCTTTGCACGCTCTCTTCCCCCTTGGATTGATGAAGGAATCGTTGCAAGTATAACTTAAACATTATATGAAAATCAAGAATGAAAAAGTTTTTGAAAACTTGGCATGATAAAGATTTAGTTTAAGTTAAGCATCAGCAATTCCTAGGTCTTGGCTGTCATCAGCTTGGATAATTTAGACCTGATTAAGACTACTTTGCCACATGCCAATCTGTATTAAGTGTCATAATAACTAACACGTAGGGAGTGTGATTTATAGGGGCGCACATTGGTTTGTGTTATAGTTTATCAGGTTGTTTTAGTACTTAGTCAATGTCTCAGGATCAGTCAAACCAATTCCTTGTAAAGTTGACCATACTTGTACTAGGCTTTACTTTTCAAAGTTGTTGAGTTGCATGGTTAGGTGTATAATTTATTGTTTCTTATTACTGTTAAATTCCATGATTAGATTCACATTTCATTCATTGGGAACTCTGCATGTGAAAAGAACTCAAGTATGATATCTTTATGAAGTTTGATATGCTTCAATGAAATTTTGGTTTATTAAAACTTCTAATTATTGTCACAAAGCTCTTAAATCAACTGTTTGAATCAGATTGAAGATGCATTACTAATGATGGTGTTTTTATTTTTTTGTGGAAGAATAGTGGACAAAATAGATTTGCCTTTTATCCAAGTCCATAGGTTAGGCTTTCATTGAAGAATGAAAACACATACAAATTAATATTTATAGTTTATGAGAAGAGTGATTTCTATCTTTGTTTTTCAAATTTGGCTGATATCATCTTTCCTTTCACACAAAAAATGGTGAAACTCATCTTTACAGTTACTCAGAAAATTCCTGATCTGAAATTCAGTTATATTGTTTCCACTAGGTATTCTGGTTAGAGCTTAAGGCAGAAGATGCAATGTTTGTGATGCTATGGCACATCTTTATTTATGGAGGAATTATAGGACAAACAATGTTTGAGGCTGGTTCTTCGTGACATTCACCCTTTTTAAATAGATGATGTCTTCTATGGTTGTTGTATTTTTCTAATAGTGAAGCTCTTTGCTAATTTCTTCCGCACTTCAAAACTGTCCTTTAATTTTTTTTTTCTTTCTTTCATGAAAACTCTTTTGTTCTATTGCTATCTAATTTCTGTGCCAATCTTCTATTCTATTTGGATGATCAAGGACTTTGGGTGATAATTCTTTTTTTTTTTTGATTGAATCTATGTGTTTAAGAATTTATGATTGTTACCTTCATCAACATTAAGGGCTGTGCATATGTTAGTTTGTTTGAAGATTGACATAATTGATTGATTCAGTTCCAGTAATTTAGCGAACTGAGCTGATCATACTTAAGTTTTCATGTCATGTTTGTTCGATGAATTTTATGCTGGTTGTCGATAACTTAACACAACCTTTCACTTTTCTCATCCAGGATCTGAGACCTAGCAATGATAGTGTTAAGATTTAAATGAAGATCAAAAGGTGTTTTTCTTAGAGGATATTTAACATAGGTAGATGTGATATTTCTATATACTTTTCAATGAAGTTTTGAGAGTACGATTGACTTTAATGACCTTAGCTCCCTAAATGACAATAGAGATATTTTTTTGATATTAGTAGAAAACGAAGTTGGAGAGCCTTTGAAGAAAATGAGGTGTAGAAAAATAATAGGACATGATGATATTCCAATAGAAATGTAGAAATGATTAGGAGAACGATTTGTTATTAGTGGGCTGTAACCTAAATTTTAGGCATAAGTTTCACGTGGGTTTCTCACATGAAATGATAGGGTTGATTTCACATGATCATATATGTCTTTTAAGTACAATGAGATAGGAGGTTTGGACACCAAGAGTTTTTAAGTGTAATAAACTAATAGTTGGAGTTTCATGGAATTAAGTTATTTGTGATAATATTAGAACTAGGGGTGTAAATTAGTCAAGCTGACTCATAAGTGACTCATGAGCTAGCTCAATGACCTAACAAGCTAAGCTTTTTAATATTATTTTGAAGACTAAAAGATGCCAAATGAGTGGAGTGTGTTGGCTCCTATTTTTAAGAATAAAGGTGATGCTTAAGGGTGTGCGAATTATAGATGAATTAAATTAATGTGTCTTACATTAAAATTATGGGAGAGAGGAATAGAGCATAGGTTACGATGATATTAATGTTTTTCAAAATCAGTTGGATTGGTGCCAAGTATGTTTAATATGGAAGCTATACATTTATTGAAAGGGTTTGATGGAGAAGTATAAAGAGAGTAAAGAGGATCTACATATGATATTTATTATTTTAGAGAATGCATATGATAAAGTTTCAAGAGAAGTGCTCTGGAGAGTTTTAGAAAAGAAAGGAGTTAATAATACTTATATTCAAATTATTAATGATATGTATACAAGAGCTGTTACTTGCATTTAACAACAATGTGGTTTGATTAAGTATTTTTATATTTAAATTGGATTACATCAAGATTCAGCTTTAAGCCCTTTTTTTTACTTTAATCATTGATGTTCTTGCTAGACATTTGCAAGAGGATGTAAGATATATACTTTTGCTGATGATATTCTTCTTGTTGATAAGACTAGAGAGGGAGTTGATGAAAAACTTGAATTATGAAGGTCAACCTTAGAATCTAAAGGTTTTTGATTGAGTAAATCTAAGACTGAATGCATGGAGTGTAATTTTAGTAGTAATAGATCTAGTTGTAGGATTGTGATATTAGGTGATCTATTCATTAAAAAGAGTGCATTTTAGCTATCTAAGGTCTATTGCTCAAAGAGTTAGTGAAATAAATGGGAAATTATTAGTAGAATTTGAGTTGGAGGGTTGAAATGGAGGAATGCATCGGGCCAGTTGTGTGATAGAAAAGTACCCCTCAAATTCAAGGAAAAAAATTATAAGTTGGTGGTGAGACCTACAATTCTTTGTGGCACAAAATGTTGGTCATTAAAAGAAAATCATAAAATTAAGTTAAGTGTTGCAGAGGTGAGGGCGTTGATGTTGATGAATCAATTTACTTTTAATGCAAATATATACATGATAAGTTGGAGTAGCTCTAGTGGAAGATAAAATTAGTGAAGCCTTAGATGGCTTGGTCACATAGAACATTGGTTTTTGGATGACCCAACCCTGCTAGGAGAGTAGATGTATTAAATCTGACTTATGTTAAGAAAGGTAGAGTTATACCGAAAAAGACTTGGCTAAAAAGTATATTAGAAATGACATTTTTTATTAGTTTTAGTTGAGATATTGATTCTTAATAGGACACAATAGAGAAAAATAATTTACGTAGTCGACTATACATAGTGAGATAAATGTTTGTTGTTATTGTGGCTGATCATATTTATCCAAATATGCTTCAACTTTTTTATATTAGTTTGCACATAGGAGTAACAAGTCCTACAAGAACAACATTTTCAATTTCTATTTTGTTTGATTGTAGTTTTCTCAACCAAAACTAGCAAACAAAATCACCATGAATGAAAAACTCAGCCCAACTATGCCCATTAATTGTATAAATTGCACGTTTATGTTGGGTTCAATTTGGGATACCATTTTTTCATAAATTGAATGCAATAGTTGTTATTAGAGTATTGCGTCAATAATATTATCAAGATAAGCACAAATTGCACAAAATTCAAAATAGATTAAATTATGATAAATACAAATGATCCTTCTGTTCTTTGATAGGAATATGTGCCATCTTTTCACTAATTAATGCAATAGCTGGTAGAATTTTTCCTCAATAATATTGTCAAGATAAGCAAGAAATTCAAAATAGGTGAGTTTGTAGTTAAAATAAATGATCTGTTTGTTCTTAGATAGGCTTAGATTCAAAATTTTGTTATTTGGATTAGTTCCACGTTAAAACTCAAACCAGTTGTAGATTTAGATTTCTACCTCCTTAAACTCTTATTAGTCGGAGAAAGCAAAAGAAAAAGAAAAAGAAGACTTTGGTCGTTCACTAAAATTTTGCTATTGTTGAGAAATTCGAAAAGGGATAAGACTCGTGTGGTGTCATTTTGGAGTAAAGTGTGGATCGTTCAGTACGTTTTAGATTTATTTATTTATTATCTATCTTATTTGTTTCTATGCAATAGTAATATGATTCCCTTTTATAAGCCGAATACATTTAAGACTTCACTTTATGGTAAGATTGGGTGTACTTGAATTTTGAGAAGAGCATTTCTTGCAAACTATTTGTCTATGCACGTGAACGTTCGATAATGTATTGGTTCATTTACGCTCTCTTGGGATTTGGGCTATGCATTTTGATCGAAACACTTAAATTTTTTTATTTTTTGTGTATTTATCATATGTGTTAATATAGGTGCTTTTGCATGAACAAATAGATTTTTCTTAACTGCTATCAATTCTTAATAAGGAATATAATGGGGTTGAGCTGTACGATTGAAAATTTTGATGGCTTTAAGGTTTTTGTGATTTGGAGAACCA